GCAGCGTACTTCTGAGACAGGCCTAGTCTCATTCACCCAACTGTACATTCCTAGCGCTGGCTCCACTACTTTTCTCCTTCTTCCGCGGCCTGGGCGCTCGCGCATCTTCGTTGCATATATTTTTTAATTGAAACAATTAAGACGTGCAAATTCCTTTCTTTTTTTTTTTTGCTTTAAGGGAAGTGGAAACAACTTCAAATAGTAGCAGGATTTATTTTTGATATAATGCAAGTCGTAACCCGTAAAATATGTTACGTTTTAAATTTGCTATACTTGGACCATATAATATTATATAACAAGCTTTCAAGCTTCAAAAATGAATGGATGTGGTGATGATGTCTTAATTTAACCTTGAAGGGACTTTGCGGCAGTGTGGATTTTCCCCGAGTATATGTTCTCATGGCTAGCACTACTTCACTGCCGTGAAATTCTTTGCGAAGGGTTACATACAAACTAATCAACCTTGAAATAGGTGTTTTCTTGGCTTAGCACCCCAATACTGCAGCGAAACCACTTTTACAAGGGGTTACGAGCGGATTAATACACATTTACTTGTTCCTTTTGAATACTTCAATATTTTCAATAAATGAGGTTTGTTTTGAAGTGAATCCAAACCTGTATTATTCATGCATACATTTGAGCCATTCGAATGTTCGTACAAGCCTATTTTCAAAACTCAGCCATATGACTGCCTTGCCTACAAACCAGGAGAGTCAAAATAACACCTCCTATTCTTCTCCTTTCCCGTAAGGTTTTATGCCCCACAGACACCATGACCTTTCCACAAAGACATTCTTTCAGGATGTTGATGACTGGCTAATCCACTTTGAACAAGTTGCCAGCGTCATTGAATTGGATCAAGTTCACAAGTTGCAGAGAGTTTACTTTGCATTGAAGGTTTCTTCATCGCACTGTTCACGACTGACATTCAACATGTTAGTGGGAAAGACAACGAGGTTGCCGAGGTACTTTCACGTGTGGCCACCATCAGCTTGAAGCAGATAACAGCAAACATCCTTGCCAAGGCTCAGACTACGTCCTCACAACAGCTAAAAGAAGTCCCCATTCCACGGTTCGCAACCACAATCTGTTGCGACTAAGCTTGCGCGAATATTCGTATGCTTCGAATATTCGAACGAATAATAGTGTATTCGAATTCGCTTTGATTCGATTACTGAAAATTTCGAAGTTTCTCTCAGCCCTCAGGTCGGTTCGAGTATGTTCACCTCAACATCATAGGACCATTTCCCCCAGCAGGACCTTGCCGCTACTGCCTCACCATCATCGAATGGTACACTTGATGACTCGAGGCATGGCCCCTTGAAGAAATCACCGCGAACGACGTTGCCTCCGCCTTTTTTTTGGCTGGATTTCCCGTTTCAGTGCCCCCCCCCCCCCCCCCCCCAGCGTAACCACTGACCAAGGGTGACAGTTTGAGTATAGCCTATTCAGGCTCCTGGATTGGCCATCTGGTTTGAACGCTTGAGGACCACCAGCTACCACTCTTGCGCCAATGGAATGATAAAGCGTTTTTACCAACATTTCAAAGTTGCCATTATGTGCCCCCTATACTCAACCTGGCTCGAGGCTATCCCGGCTGTCATCCTCGGTCTTCGCACAACTTTCAAGCCGGTCATCCACGCTGCACCAGCACCTGTCCAACCACTCCATCTGCGAGACGAATTTCTCAGAACTCTGCTATCTAGCACTACGACATCACACCCCACAGACTTCGTCGACCAGCTCCAATGCATTATCACCGCATTACGCCCGTCACCTGCAACCCACCATAGAAAGCCTATACCTTTTATGTTCAAGGAGCTAGCATTGTGCACTCATGCTTCCCTCCGCGACGACACCGTCTGCCGGCCTTTTCAGCCCCCCTACAGCGCACTCTAACTAGTTGTTCATCACGCGACAAGATCTTCACCTTGCGCCTGAACGGGAACGACGTGGGCATCTCAATTGACCCAATCAAGCCCGCATACCTTGCGGCGAATGAACCAGGCAGTGCCACTCCTTTCGATAGCATCCTTCCACAAGCGCCGACGTCACAGGCCGTTCATTTCACGATAGGCTTTGGCCGTCTAGTACGCCTCCCATATTTCTACAGACCCTGAAGGCTCACTCTACGGGGGTGATATGGCCACCACTGCACACACACCTGTGCAGCCTCCATCTCGTCTCTGATTAGAACAGCGTGACATGGCCTCTTGCTGCAACACGCTTCCGTAACAGCTCTGACGTCTTCAGTGAAGCCGGTAGGCAGGGCCTCGTTTGCAGAGGCATTGTGAGATTACTGCTGTTTCTGAGTCTGCAGTTTCTTTTGAAGTTGTTGCACTTGACGAAGGAGAGCGTTGAGGGTTTCTGAATCGGCCATGGCATTGCGGTTAGTTCGTTTTCCAGGTCACCAGATGTCCGATGCCAGGTCAATGAAAGACAGATCCCAACATAAAACCTAACGATTGTTTATTAACGTGGTAGCATGAGCAGGGCAAGCATGCCGCCGCTGTGCTCGAAGCGTTGGAGAAACAATCATAAAACCAAGCTTGGTAGCTTGGGTTATATAGCCACCAGTGGTGACGTAAGCCTCCGGTGAAACTGCAGCGGCACTTTCTTTTATCAGAAGCATATAGGGAACCGAAGCTCAAGTTTACGGAGTGACGACAACGCTGCACCTGGCCCTGGCAGCGAGCTCCGGAAAATTTGAGGAGAGGCGTGGGAGAAGTCGCAGGTGAGTCAATGTGTTTCGCCGAAACGGATGCGCCTGTGACATGCGCTCAACGCAATCTGCAGTCGGTGCAGGAAACTTAGGTGCCGTACCGTAGCTTGGCACGCTAAAACGAGACTCTCGCTATGCGAAGTTGCCTTTTCGCAATGAAAAAAGTGGCCCCACGAAAGGATCAGCGAGGTCCGAAGTATTGTTGTGTTGGGGGCTGCCACAACAATGCAGACAACACCAAGGAACGCTCTTCACGTCTAAAGCTGTATCAGTTTCCCAGAAAGTCACAGCCGCATTTGCGAAGATAGAGCAAGCATGACATGAGATCTGGAAAAAAAAAAGTGAGGCGAGCACTTTAACTTGACTCGCTCTGGTTAAACTTCAGCTTCTTACTTTGCAGTGACGTCAGCGGGTCATGCTCCCACGGCACAGAGGGCATGACTCTAAACTTCTCCGACAATTCAATGCCATGTCCATATAGCTTTAGTTTTTATTTATTTTGTTAGCATGCCGCAAATGTTTGCACATCACGGTACACGGCTGATACTGCTAGATACTACATCAAAACAACAATAATGTGGTTTCTATAAACGTCAGCACAGCTCATCGATAGAGTACGCGGCTTCACGTCGGCAGAATGAGACTTACTTCAAGGCATACGTCGTACACGGTATTATCACAGAGGACCTGAGAAATGAATTTCGCAGTTACGTGGGCGTCCTCATCTTCCGTTGTCTGCTCCACATCATAAACTTGACTAACGAGCTTTACTCCTTTCGTTAGATTTCGCTTATTGGAAGTACTTGTCCAGCTTAGAGATCTTTATGAAGCCACACTACAGGTTGTACATTGTGAGATGACTCAAACGCAGCGCACGCTCTCTGCATGAGCATGTAACCGAGTGGCAGCACATTGGTAGGTAGGGAAAACACGCGATATAGATCCCTGATTTCTACTTTTATACCAATGATGGCGCTGCCTGTCCAAAGTGGCAGTGCCACCATGCGTTGCTTTGGCTTCCTATTACAGCAAGTGGCCGTGTCACGCGGGGCTAATCAGTAACGAGACGGAGGCTGCGCAGGTCTGTGCGCAGTGGTTGCCACACAAATTATACATTTATTTGTTCGTTTTGAATACTGTAAAATTTTCAATAATTAAAATTCATTTTGAAGTGACTTTAAGTACTGTATTATTCATTCAAATATTCTAATCATTAAAATATTCACACAAGCCTTTTGTCATGATTCGACATGATGGCTCCCTTGACTACAAGCCAGGAGAGTCGAAACAATACCTCCTGTTATTCTCTTCTCCCATGTGTTTTTCATCTGCCAACTCTAGGCCAGTATGAATATTTGAAAGCTTCGAATATTCGCACAGGTCTAAAGTTTGTACATCAACAGCAATGACAAGCGAAGAGGCCAATGCGGACAAAGTTAGTGCAGTGGTTGCGCACATTAAGAGCTATCACCCCTCTCCCCCTGCTAGCTTCATATTGTCTTCATGCTCAATAAAAAGTTTAGGGTTTCATGGCTATCTGAAAAAATCATCAGTGTTCTCCAAGACCAGAAAGTTTGAGAGCCCCTTCGCTAGTTTGTTGGCCCCGATGTTGGTTCTCTTTGAGATCACATTGTGCTTCTTGGGATGCTGTGCACTGTGGCAATAATCAGATTTTTTTTTATATTTTCAACCATGTTAATTATCAGGAGCCTTGCAGAGATCGGCCACGTTCATCCATTCTATGGGAACTATCATGTTAGCAAAGAAGTGAAAAGGAAACCTGTGTGACGGTCTAAATGAGAAATTGTGGTAGAAAACACCGAATCACAAGCGGTAGTTTAAAGCCAGCCTTTTGGGACATCTTACACTGCTCAATGTTCTAAATAAGGGACGTTTCAGCAATTTTTATTCAATTTAGCCAGTGCAAAAACTATGCATTGACATTACAGCATTTTTGTGTTGGGAAATAATATAATATAAAGGATCATTCAATAATCACGGAGTACTATTTAGTCAGATTTGTCTGTGTGAAAGACAGTGCCAAATTGTGAATGGGAATGCACTACTACCCCAACACCAGAAAGTGTATTGCTGTTGCCTTTTACTGATTCTGGTTGTATAATGTGGACAGACAACTGATGTGTCAGAATAGAAAGTAACAATGGAAAAGTGCCACTGAGAAGAATTGCCTTCACTGAAGAAATGTACAAGCTTAAAATATAATTAGGACATCATTAAAACAGGTCTGGAGGTGGACATGGGTATTCTGACTTTGCAGCCACCGAGCCATCATGAGTGGGTGGCACTGTCCTGTTGTCCAAACCCAGACCAAGAGCACCTGCTCACTGATGCGGTGGCTGAACCAGGCCTCTTGCAGATCTGGGACCTTGGACCCTTGCAGCTGAACAGGTAGGGCCATCCATCACTGGAGCCACTTTATTGCCGGGAGCGTGCCTGTCAAGTTTGTTCACAATAGCACCTAATCTACTGTGCTGGCGTAACGTCAACTTGTTGTAGTAACACTAGCTTCACTTGCATGCACTTTGCAGTACAGGAGCGACTGGCACTGCACATTCTACTTCACAGTGAGCTAACACACTGTTTTAAATGGCCATTTCTATTCCATTTAACTTATTTCACCTTATAGGTACAACAGAATTTCATAGGGGCTCCATACACATAGTTCCAAATAACGATAGTGTCTTGTCGGTGGGCTGTTAAAGAAGAAGCACTTTATTTGGCAAGCTTGTGCCCTGAAAATTACCATACTTACTCGCATAATTTGTGCCCTTGCATAATTTGTGCACCCCTTATATTTTGCCAGCTTTACTAAAAAATAGTTACGAGTTGAAGACGATACATTGTCCGAGTGCAATGCTGGGCTACGTAGTCCGAATCTAAGGACACAACTGTGGGCTGTCCAATGGGCCGACGACATGGCGAAGAGGCTAGGCGGGGCGAAGACCCTGTCCTGAAGTGGGAGGGGCGCTCTAATACATGCTAGTTCACGCCCCCTATGGACCCAAATAAAGTTTTCCCTCACCATACCACACTCACATATATTATGCTGCCGGATCCACTCGAGTCAGCTTGCCAGCGCGTGCGTGAAGAGGCTTTAGATCTTTGGGTGCGTTGGACAGGCACACTGAGCATGTGCCTCTCTGAGCAGGTGAGCGCAGTCAAACAGGCTGTGAGTGCAAAGTCCTTTCTCCCGATAGCTTCCCCTGAACTAAGGTCTCTAGAATGCCGTACCCAAACACTCAAACCTGTTGACAAGTCACCGGAACTGCTCGAGCATTTGCCTACCTCTATCTCCCCATCTCTACCTCCGTGAGAATGCACACTCATGTCACAGCACCACCAACTTTCAGCATAGGAGGCGCACGAGGGCCTCTCGTCCTATTGCGTCAACTGTTCCCCTCGTTCCCTTCATCCACGCTACAACACACGCTTGGTTCATTTCAGAAGTTTAGGTTTCCCCATCCGTGCATGGTATTTTTACTGTTTTCTTACAGTGGGTTACAATAATTATAAATACGGAATAATTCATGCACGCTAATATCAAGTTGGCCAAAGAAAACAGGGAACCGTGCCACCACCAAGCACTTCGCGGTAAAGTTCTCCTATGTTTTATGATAAAGGAGAAAGCGGGAGAGTTCGTGCTTGCTATTACAAGTTTCCTGCCATTGAAGAAGGAATTCTCAGTTATGGTTCACTTTTAGGCCTCTTGGTATCGCCATGTCATGGGAGGTAGTTTCTCCCAGGTGCCCCTCCGCGGTGGTCTAGTGGCTAAGGTACTCGGCTGCTGACCCGCAGGGCGCGGGTTCGAATCCTGGCTGCGGCGGCTGCATTTCCGATGGAGGCGGAAATGTTGTAGGCCCGTGTGCTCAGATTTGGGTGCATGTTAAAGAACCCCAGGTGGTCTAATTTCCGGAGCCCTCCACTACGGCGTCTCTCATAATCATATAGTGGTTTTGGGACGTTAAACCCCACATATCAATCAATCGTATCAATCAGTAGTTTCTCCCAGGTTTGTCAAGAACAGTTTTAAGAAAAAGGAGCATTCAAACGTACTCGACAGAACTGAGGACAATGCACTTTGGGGGTGCAGTGACAGTGGCCACGACAATGATTCCCAATCGGACCTGCTGATCGATGACTTTGACTAGATCTCACGTGACCGGATCTCACTAGTTAATGTATGGGCTGATTCTGTTGAATAGACTAATGCACTTTTTTTGTGCTCCAACTTATTTATCTTCTTTTTTTTTATGACATACTGCTCGCATTAAAACTATTGCACATAATTTTGTATACATTTGCAAAATCTACACATAGTTTGTGCACCCTCTTTTCGGAGCCTTAAAACCGCTAAAGAAACTATGCAAATTATGCAAGTAAATACTACAGTGAAGTCAATAGGTCTCCTCAATTTGGCCGCTTCTTTTTTTACGTAGTTTACAAAAGTGCCCTGTCAGATTCTCTAGTGTCACTGCAGAATGAACTAGCGGTTTCGGTGCAGCCACGCAGTATACCTCGTGCCACTTGCACGAGACGAGAAGTCGCGGGGAAGCTAGTGTTGAAGTTCTGATGAACTTGTGTGGCACGTCGTGAAACCGAGTGCAAGAGTGAAGGTGGCACAAGCTGCACTCGCAAAACCGAGGACAAAAGTGCAGCAACTTTCTAACTAGAGCAGAAAGTGTAGGCAAATTGAAAAGAGCTAAAGTAAAAGTGACACGTGCTGTGGACTGATAGGGACGATCACAATCGTTGCACCCTCTGTGAGAGGTGACTGCTTTTATATGTCCCTTATAAAACCTTCCAGCATTATCACTGGTGCTAGCATTAGCTTGGGAATACAGTATGCTACTCTTATTTTTCTTTTAATTTTAACAGAGCTGTCTAAAATTAGAAATTAGAAAAATAGTAGTGAAGCTTCTAAACATTGTGTTAGATCAACAGCTGTGGTTTCAGCATTGTGGTGGAGCAAAAGTCCTTGTTCATGAAACCAGCTCACTTCAGAAATAAAGTAATATGCGTGCACGGCATATTACAATAAATAGAAAGGTTCGAGCATGTGACCTGAGCTATAATGGGAGATCCCGGAGGATGTGCTGTGACTGTGTTGTGAGGTTCCAAGCTGCGAAGACATGGGAAACCAGTGTCGCTAGCACAACGAAAGCAGCTTAGCTCCCCAGTTCTGAAAGGTGTCAGCATGAGAGGCCTGGGAAATGGCCGTCAATCTCAGAGGTACTTTTTGAGTGAGGCTGCCCGGACTCGCCGCACCCTTGACCAACAGTTCCTGGTGTACTTGCAGCTATCCCAGTTCACGCTAGGGCAGTAGCAAGCCACACTATTCAGCAAAGTGGACCCATCAGCAAAAGAGTGCTAGGACAAGCTAAAGCTAGCCTAGTGAGGCTGAAGACTGCGACGAAGACTAAGGTACCGGCAATAAAGACAGATGGCACATTGGGCGGAAGTTATTGATGATCGTAGGAGCTTGATGAAGACGTTGAGGACAGAATCAATGAACTGTCAACACGACAAGGGCACGGAGTCAATGCCACAATGGGAGGAACTGTAAGAACGTTTAGTTACCTGAAAGGCCAATTTTGCTAGAGAGAAATTAGGGCTAAGGATTGAACTCAACACAGATAGATATCAGTTCCGGTTTCCTTGTAGAGCTAGTTATTGTGTGCATATTTCTTGTTTGTGTGCATATTTCTGTGTGCTATTGTGTGCATATTTCTTGAGGGTTTGTTCATATTTTGCTATTTTGTATAGTATTAAACTGTGTTTGCTGTGCTGCTGCCGACTTGCATCTCTCTCTCAACTCCACTTACTGCAAGTGCTCCCGAGATAAATCGTGACTCATGGTCACTGCACTTTGCATGACAGTTCACTGGGGCATGTCAAGCCAGGAAACCCGGCGGAAGGGCGCTGTATGGCGAGTGATTGTTGACACTGAGTGCCCTGATGCTTGGCTGTTGGGCGGTTGTTTGCTGGCCTGGTTTAGAGTGACCCATTGTCGCGTCTATGAGCCAGTTGTTGCGGCAGTTTGGAAGGAAGTTGTAGTGAGCCAGAAAGTTTGTCATCGGCAACGTCGGTGATGACAAAGTTCCAGTGAAGGTCACAGCGTAGGTTTTTCAGCTGAATGAGCAGGCCCAGCGAGCCGTTTGACTTGATTGCAGACTGGTTCGCTGCACTGAGCTCAAAAGGAGTAGGAGGACCTGGAAGATGGGCTCATGGGTAGCAGCTGATGTCAGAACCAGTGTTAATGAAGAACTCCTGTTTTGTCATTTGGTCGGTAACAAAGATACAAAGGTGAGTTTTGCTAATTAGCGACCAAGAGGCCAGGCTGCTCATTGACTCATCCGGAAGTTTTTGACACTTTAGGTGGACGTCAATGTAGAGGCCTTGTTAGGCTTTATCTGGATACCTAGGCAGAGGCGGGTCCATGCCTCAGTAGCCCTTAGAAGGGCTGGCTGCTCGAACGTGCGGAGCAGGCACGAAAAAAAAAAATCAAAACACGGGAAGAAGCGGAAAAAAAAGCAACCGTCCTGGTTAGAAGCTCAACAATCTGTCATATGCAAAATGCTCACTTTTCTGATTTGAGGGTGAGCCTGATGAGATAGCACACCAGTGATGCAGTCAGTGATGTGGAGCAAGTGGCTGGATGTTGAGCCTAGTGTACTTGGTACTTTCAGTGCAAGGTGAAGGGGTCCATCCTATGTACGTCTGACAGAGAAGCCTAGCTAATGTCTCGGCCGCATACAGTCGTACCGTTCATGATTAGCGTCCCCTTCCCGTAACGCTAGTCATCACAGCAACTCTGGTTTGGGCGAATAAGGCAACAGGCTAGGTCAACAAAACAACACTTTATTGCTACGATAGCATAAATGCGCGAATGTCGCATAGAGGGTCTTCACTTCCGTTCTAGGTAGATAGCAAAAGGGTAGATGCTTACCCCTCAGTTGTTGTCGTCCTTGGCTTGAAGGGAATCCCGGGAGTCGTTCTTCCTGCTTGGTTGCCGGTGCCAGATAGAGTGTCCTGCCGTTGGCACGCTCGTTTTCTCCACCGTCCCGGTTTTCTTCTCTCTGAGGAGAGTTTGTTCCTTCGCTGAGGCAGGGGAACCTGTTCCTGGAGCCGGGAAAGAGGAATCACGTGCGCTGAGGGTGGGATGTTCCATCTCTTCGCAAGAGGCTTCCTTGATTCATTTCTGGAAGGGACAGACATGTCTTCGCAGCTAGCCTGCCGCGGTGCCGTAAAGGGAAAGGGTGGCCTGGTGCACGTGTTTTCCCACAAAGGCCAGTGCATTTGCTGCAAACATGCAAGGTTGGCAGTACTGACAAGTGTACGATTCGTGCCGATAGTGGTACGAACAGATGCTGCAGCTTTGGGAATGACAT